TCCGGGACACGAACCGCGGGCGACTACGTGGGAGTCCAGCGACATAGCCATTACGCTAACTGCTGATTCCCATAAAGAGTAGAGGTTTACTTAGGTCACAGTTCTAGAGGCCGGGAAGTCCAATAGGAAGATGCCAGCCACTTGTATTGTCAGTGTATCTGGAGGTTTTAAGAAGTTCTTAAAACAAAACAAACAACAACAACAAAACTCTAAATTGAAATTAATTATTTAAAAAATTATTTATTTGATTTTATTATCTTTTTTTTTTTTTTTTTTTTTTTAGAGATTTTCGCTATAGGGCGCATGCACTAGTCAGAGAGACAGAGAGACAGAAAGCCAGAAATCACCCCCCAGGGTGATGGCCACACAGCAATCCCTTCTCCTCCATTCTCCTCTTGGGACCTTGGGCACGCACGCACACATGCCCGGTGTGTTTTAAGCCACTGGTTGAACTGCAATCAGCCACGTCGGAGTCCAGAGACATAACCATTATGCTGGTCCCTGTTATTATCACTTTAAAATTTGCTGTAGGGTATGTATGCTCATGGGGGGGCTTCCTGCTGTGTCATGACATGGTGGGTGGCATCACATGGCAAAATAGAGCTAGCATGATGGAGAGCAAGAAAGAGACTCAACTCTTTTTCATTATAGCCCGTTAACTCATCAGTCTATTACTTCAAGAATGGATTAATCTGTTCATTACCCAAACACCCCTCATTTGGCCCCACCTCTTAATACTACCACTACGGCAACCGAGTTTTGACGTGCATTTTAGAGGAGATATGCCAACCATAGCTCCTCTGTTTTGAGAGACCAATTTGTGGCTGCAGAAAGACATAAGGGATTTCACCAAAATCTACCAACCATAGCAACCAAGCCCCCAAAACAAATAGTCTCACACATTGCTTAGCCATGGGATGTGTTCTAAGAAGTTCATTGTTAGGCGTTTTGTCATTGTGTAAACATCACAGAGTGTACTAATACAACCCTGGGTGGTAGAGCCTTCTACCTGCCTAGGCTATGCAGTATAGCCTCGTATCATTATATGGAACCACCATGGCATATACGGGTGCTTCGTTGACCCAAACACCATTATGCAGCACGTGACTATGAATGCACTGGGTGAAGAACATCATTAAACTTTTCTAAGCAAGATACAACAGGTGGTGTAGTGGTTAGGATGCTGGATCCCACATGCCCAACTCCCTGGGTTCAAGTCTGGGACTAGGTGGCCAGAAGAACATGCCTGGCTCATGTGTGTGCATGCCCAAAATCCCATGAGAAGAATGAAGGAGAAGGAACTGGAGTGTGGCCCGCTCTCTACCTCACTTTTTTTTTTTTTTTAAGAATTATTTTATTTTTACTTTATTTATTTATTTATTTTAATTGAGCAGAGAGGGACAGAGTGAGAGAGAGAAGGAAAGTGAGAAAGCAAGCCACCAGGTCTGAGGCTCAAACTGCCATCAGCCATGTGGGAGTCCAACATCCTTAACCACCACACCACCTGCCGGCCCCTCTACTTCACTTTCTCTCTCTCTCTCTCTCTCTCTCTCTCTCTCTCTGTCCCTCTCTGGTGAATACACAATCCCTATGGCAAAACTAAAAAATAAATAAATAAATAAAAAAGAAACTTGAGAATGCATGTCTTAGCTAAAGAGCCAGCTGTTACTGCTCAACTCCAGGCCATTCTCACTGAGAGGAAATGAAGACTCAGACCCAGTGTTTCCATGTTTTCTTTTAAAGCTAGAGGGGCCTGCTGGTGGGATGGTGGTTAAAGCGACTGGATCCCACATGGCTGACTGCGTGGATTGAGTCCCCAACCCAGTGGCTTGGAAAACATGCTGTATGTGTGCATGTGTGCCCAGGATTCTGAGAGGAGAATGGAGGAGAAGGGATTATGGCACAGCCAGTCCCTCCCTGGGGGAGTGGGGGGGGGTGCTTGCTCTCGCTCTCTCTCTCTCTCTCTCTCTCTCTCTCCAGCAAGTGTATGCACCCTGCAGCAAATTAACAGGAAAAAAAGCTAAAATTCAGATTTTGTGAAAATTTTCTGATTTGTATACTTGGCAGCTAGTTCAAAAAAACAACAACAAAAATGATCCCTTCCTGGGCTGGTCTGCAACCTCTACTTTATGTATCTAGGTGAGTTAGAGAGAAGGTGATCCTTGAAAAGTGCAGTGTTTGAGGAGTTACTTCCTGGGTAGTGTGAGACTTGACTTACCTTAGAGTAGGTGAGAGGTAAGTGATGAGGAGGAAAAAGATTGTGTTAGGAAGAGCCCTGAAGGGGAAGGAGAGGAATTCAGAGGAAGAAAGTTGCAGGTCACAGGAGGAGGCACACTGTCAGGGTAGGTTGGAGCCGGAATGTAGAGTGCTTGGAGGGTCGGAACGTGTTGGAACCATATTCCATTGGCAATGGGAGTTCTTTGAGGGCTTTGGAGCAGAGACATAAAGACAAAGGATGTGAGTTTTGCAAAGTTCTGTTTCAGAAAACCTGGACTAGTGCTGATGTTGGGCAGGAGTGAAGGCAGCAAAAAATTCAACAAAACCGTCAGTGGGCCTGTCCTAAGCCAGCTCTCTCCTGACTCTCAAGAGGGTTTCCCAACCAGTGCTCCCTCCTTTCAACAGTTTTGGGCCTTTAAACGTCCACCTTCTTCAATGTATGTCCCCCTATTATCCTATTTTCTTTTTCTGCATGGGAAAATGGCACCAGAAAACTGATTTTTCCATAAGTAAGGGACTGGTGAAACAAATTGCACAAAAGAGCCTGATAGTGAGTAGGATGGGAACTGTTAAAGAGAATGTAGTAGGTCTCAAAGCCCCAGTGACCATAAAAGCACATTCAAGATATAAAATGAAAACAGAGGCTGCTGGCAGGTGGAATGGTGGCTAAGGCACTGGACTCCCACGTGTGTGACCACGGTTTGAGTTCCAAACCTGGCAGCTTGCTTTCTCACACTTTCTTTGTCCCTCCCCTCTCTGTCTCTCTGTGGTCAAATTTAAAAAAATAATTACTAAATAAATAATAAATAAAATGGAATGAATAATTCTTTTAAAAAGCAAAAACAAAAGCAAATTGTGAGACAATATGCAGTTTTAGCTTGTTCTTATTTTTACAATATTGTATTTCACTCATCCAAGATGCCCATTCTTTCTCATTTCAACATCTCTGATCAAGGCCTGGGACCAGCAGTTAGTGTAATGGCTATGTCGCTGGACTCCCATGTAGTCGACTGCGGTTCGCGTCCTGAATGCAGTGGCTTAAACTCACGTCAGGCGTGTGCATGCATGCCCAAGATCCCGAGAGGAGAATGGAGGAGAAGAGATTGCGGCGTGGCCATCCACCCCAGGGGGTTATTTCTTGCTTTCTATCTCTCTGTCTCTCTGGCCAGCGCACATGCCCTATAGCAAAAATCTCTCAAAAAGAAAAAAAAAAGCCCTATTCAGTTTATTCAGCAGGGCGCAGGGGGTTTGTTTTGTTTTTCCTCTTACAGGACTGTAAAATAAGACTGTCACCTTAAAATCAATGATACTTCAGATGTACTGAAATATAATACACTCTATATAGCATCCAGTCAGGCCCACACTACCGCTTGAAAGCCCTACATTGGAAAATCCTTAAGCTGTTTGGAGAGGCCTCTGTTAAATTAAACAAACAAAAAGCCCTAGGGATTGTGCCACCAACAGAAACTGGTTACCAGGAACCTGCTAGTTATGGCTGGTTGACATGGTAATCAGAGTATTGTCATGTAAGGGAGGAATCAGGCTAGGATTCTAATGTGGCTTCTGCTTTGGAAGGAGACAAAAGCTCAAGTGTGAGGGGACACAGGACCTCCCTGATCTGACTCAGGTTACCGTCCTAATCACAGGTGTCCTAGTCATTGGTTGGCCGGGACTCCCACCCCATGCTGGCAGCTGGCTGAACAAGCGCAAGAGGAAATAAAAGGTGCCTGGAGCCCCATCTGCTTAACCAAGTGTCCCCTTCCTCGGTAGAGGAACTGTATCCCTTCCCGAGTTAGGTAAAATGTAGCGGTCTAAGCAAGTTCCGCTGAGCCACTAACCCGGGGATCTTGGGCTCCTAACCGCACCAGTGTGATACGTTCGTGTAGAGTTAGAAAGGAAATATGCTGAATTGAGAAGTTATTTCTCAGAAACGAGGTTAATGGAGATGTGAACTCTCTCTATTTCTGTATTACAGTACTTACCATTTTTTTAAATAATCATTTTAATTTTATTTGTTTATTATTATTACTCAATTTGACCAGAGAGAGAGAAAGAGTGAGAAGGCAAGCCACCAGGTGCGGGACTCAAACCAAGGTCGGCCATGCGGGAGTCCGGCACCTTAACCACCACGCCACCTGCTGGCCCCAGTACTTACAATTTTAAGAAACTTCCATGTATTACTTTTGTATTCAAGGAGAAAGGTTAAAAAAATTTCAAACAAAAAATACAAGAGGATGTTAATAAACGAAGGGGGAATGCCACTGCTGCTATTTTTCCTTTTCATCCCCAAACTGTCATGAAGTTTGAAAAATGAGTACGAATTCTTTTCCCAACCCACACATTTGTTGTAAGAAATAAGAAACGTCCCAAAGTTTGATTTCGTTTCTTCACATAAAAATAAACATACAAGTCCTTCAACACTGCGTGGGAAAAGCACAGTTTATTTCTAAATTAAATGTATCCACAGTTTGGACGATTTATTCATTAAGCAAACGCTCTGGTAAAAATAAACTGAACACCTGTCTGCCAGACACAGTGTTTGCGGTTTTTTCGCTTGTCAACTCTTTCGATTTAAAACAAAAACAAACCTCCACCCGAGACGGTTTCAAGGGCCGGGTGAGTAAGTCACACCCCCCGGTTCGGAAGGACCACGCCCGCCAGCGCCTCCCCGTCACGTGACCCTGCGCCCACCGACGCCATCTTAGGCGTCCCTCCCAGAGGAAACTACATCTCCCAGAATCCTCGCGGCCCGCGTCGTGTTGGCACTTCTACCGGCGGGGCCTGGGAGCCGAGCCTGTAGTCCGGCGCCATCTTTGACGCTGGCAGCCTTGGATTTCTGCTGGTTCTGCTACTGTGAGGACGGCGGGCGGCAGCGGCTAAGAAAGGAGAAAGACGTGGCAGCACGCGGGAGTCGGGGATAGTGTCATCGGTTCGGTAAAGTTTCTGTTTTCTGGTAACTAGACCATTTTTTGATTCCCGGGTGGCTTGGGCCGG